TATTGGGATACTACGCAAGTATACAAATCGTTATCTAGTAATATAATAATTTTTTATTAAGTCCCGAATATCGAACCCACAGAGATTGTTCACAATATGCACTATTAAGTAACAAACTTATATTTCAGAAAGACAGTTACTTAAACTAAAGATATTCTCATAGTAATTAAAATTCAATTCTTTTTGATATTTTTGATATTTTAACAAAACTATAACTAAAGATAACTTGAGTTTTTGTAAGATAAGAAGCACTAAATATGAAATATCTTTTTTTTTATCATGAATCAGTAACAAGTATAAGAATTTTGTTGTTGAAGTATGCAAAATTGTGTTGTGTCAAATATGAACAATATTATTCTTTACCCTTACTAGAGATGCTATAAAGAACATTGATTAAGTTAAAATTTGAATAGTTATGAAAATCGGCTAGGCAGGGAAGATATCAGCTCTCACTCTAGAGTTCCTTCGATTCCCTCGATTCCCTTCACCTGGGGGCTAACATCGTGTATCAATACCTAAAACAATAAACCAAGTTGGGGGTTTTAACCTGTCACTATAAAGTCTTCTAACTACGCCCTTCAAAGATTATTTCCTTATTTATTTGCACTCAATCGTATGAATTACATTTTCATCCATACAATCTCATGTGATTCTTTCCAATTGTTGACTGGGACAATAACTTCCCGATTCTTATATGTTCTCACAATAAATTTTAACATCTCGATGGGCCAAATCAAGATGTAAATGAAGTACATGAAGTTAAATCATCACAATTTCTTCCAAAATTAAAGATCAATACTCTCCATAACTTCCATCCAATACTTTATTTACTTATCATTTTAAGGAAAAAAATAAAAAAAACTATTCAGAATTCATGAAGAAATCAAAACCACACTTTAGTTTAAAATCAAAAGTCATCCTCAAACCAACAAGAAGTCTCAATCAAAACGAAATGTAGTAACAAAAAGGTAGAAATTTATCTCAAATTCTTCACCAAACTCTTGAAGTTCTTTTGAATATATTCTTTTCTTACAACGCTTTTAACTCTAAAAAACTAGGAACTAAAACTAAAATAATGGTAGATATTGATGTCTTATAGTCTCTCCCAGAAATCACAACAAAGAAAAATCTAAAAGAAACACTTGAAGAGACTAGAAGCAGCCCCTCGAAAAATCTCAAGCCTTTCTTTTTATAGTTTTCCAAGAGGTGTCTTGGTATCTCTTCAAAATGGGCCCAAATTCGATCTATTCTCCAAAGGATGCCTCCTTTCACAAGTCTTTTAATCATATTTTTGTTTCTAATGGTTATTACCACCCTCTTTAGTCAATAGGTGCCTCAAATGTCCCTTCAAGTTTGTCAAAATGAATTAACCCGTCAAGGAAGTAACTGGCACTGACGCTTATGCGCGGGTCCTCTTGCGCTTAGGCACGACCTTCTCTGTTTCACAGGCGCTTAAGCGCCAAAATACTTTTGCACCATTTTTTCATTTTTGTTCCATATTTGTTTCTTTTTCACTTCTTTTGTCATTTTTCACCTTTTTAATTGTACCTGAAGAAAAAAAATACATAAATACCTTTCATTAAACCGTAATGTCTCAAAAATAGGTATAAAAATGTGTATAAAAATACTATATATTTTAGGTGTATCACCAACACAACACAACACATAACACTGGCCACCACAACACAACCCACAACCACAATCAACATCAAAACATAACACTGGCCAACACAACACCACTCACGTCATTGACCAACACAACACAACACATAACACTGGCCACCACAACACAACCCACAACCACAATCAACATCAAAACATAACACTGGCCAACACAACACCACTCACGTCATTGACCAACACAACAGAACTTACAGTCCCAACATTGGCCAACACAACAACACAACAAACCACAGACACAACCCAATACTGGTCATCACAACATAACCCACAACACTAACCAACCCAATATAACTCACTGGCTATCATAACACAACCCACAACCACAACAACTGCTAACAACAAACCACAATACTATCCAACACAACACTGTCCAACACAACACAACCCACGACCACAACACTGGCCAACACAACCCACTACCACAACACTGACAAACACAACAACACAACAAATCACAGACACAACCCAACACTTACAATCACAACACAACCCACAACACTAACCAACACAACACAAACCCACAACACTGACCAACACAACACAACCCACAACACCAACCCATCATTGACCATCACAACACAAACGCAACCCACCACCACAAGCAACAACAAACAACAACACTGGCCTGCACAACACCTCCCACAACACTGGCCAACACAACACAACCCACAATTATAGCACAACAAACCATTACACCACACAAATACACTGGTAAAACAACACCACCCACAATAAAACATAGCACCACCAACAAGACTGACCAACACAACACCACCCATAGCACAATAAACCATCACACCACACAACAACAATGACCAACACAACACCACGATAATCCAACATTGGCCATCCACAAATTCAGGCCATCACAATAGAAATCCAACACCACAGTAGAACAAATCCAACACCACAGCAAAAAAACCCAACACCACAACACAATAAACCCTATTCTTCTCAAATTCACAACGAACAGAAACATCCACACCACCACCTCCATCACCACCATTAAAAACCAACATAGAAATCAAAGTAATCCAATAAAGACATCAAAATTCAACAGAAACGAGAAACCAAATCGACATACGCGAGAAATGATAGGGAAAGGGGATACCAAAGTTTGGAACGAGAGGTTATGACAGAGGAAGCGAGAGATCGCAGAGGAAGTGAGAGATCGGAGGGGCACCCATGGTAATTTGTAAAGAAACGCGGGCCGCGGGGTCGAAATTGAACGCCCCGCGACGCAGTAGCACCGCCGCTCCAAATCACCAAAAAGCGCAGCTCAAGCCGCGCCGCTCCAAATCAGGCCTTATCGATTGTTTGACATGATAGATTTCAAATAAAGTAAAAATCATGCTAAATTTTTTGTCCTGTATTTTCAAAATCTATGATTTACATGAAGGCCCAAGAGAGGCATGGCGAGAAGAAGAAGTGTAAATCTCTTAAATCCTACTTTTCTCAAGATTCATTGAATCCGAAATTAAGCCTATGGTGTGAGAAAAATGATATTTAAGGAGGTAATATGATTTATGTGGCCCAAAAAATCAATTGGCAAGAATTAGCATAATTTCTAGCCAAATCTAGGCTAAATTTTACAACCAAAATTCCCTTTAGTGTTTTTGTTATATCTGTTAACCTGATTGATACTTAATTTTTTTTTTTTTTTGGGAAATATGCATACTCCATGGTTATACTTGTTATGAAAGTTATTAACGATATGATCATTAGTTTTGAATTTCATCTGTGAAGAACCGCATCAAGATGTACTGTAGATAGGATGAATTTAGACTAAACTCAGTGAACTTCACAAGCTTACAATGATTTCGAATGCATCGCGATTATTTATTTTGATCCGCTCTAACAGGCGGAGACGTTAAAGTTTAACTTAGGTGGTGTGACCAGCTATCCCTTCAGATGCAAAAATAATGATGATCGGAATACTAACTGTGACGGACTAGGCTTCCCAAAGGGGGTGACATATGCAACTTCTTGTGCCACCTGGTCAGAAATATCACAAGAAGATCACGCTGCTTCTGATATGTTACTTGATTCATTTGGAAGGTTTCATAATTATTTGAGAATTTCCCTAACAGAGCGCTGCAATCTCAGATGCCAATATTGTATGCCTGGGGAAGGTGTCGAGCTAACACCAAATTCACAGTTACTAAGTTCTGACGAGATCATTCGATTGGCCAATCTTTTTGTAAATTGTGGAGTAAATAAGATCCGCTTAACTGGGGGAGAGCCAACTATCAGGAAAGACATTGAAGAAATATGCCTCCAACTTTCTAGCTTGAAAGGATTAAAAACGCTAGCGATGACCACTAATGGAATTGTTTTAGCCAAGAAGATCCCCAAGCTGAAAGAGTGTGGACTCAGTGTGATAAATATCAGCTTAGATACATTAGTCCCAGCAAAGTTTGAATTATTGACAAGGCGTAAAGGGCATGACCGGGTTGTGGAGTCCATCAATGCTGCTGTGGAGCATGGATTTAATCCTGTTAAAGTATGTTATAGTCAATTAAATGTTTTTTTCAGTCTTCAATGCCAAGTTTGTTTTATCATAAGCATGTCTGCCTTTACATACTAGTAGATGGAATTATGTTGGTGTAAAATGCACTTTGCAGGTCAATTGTGTTGTAATGAGAGGTATCAATGATGATGAGATTTGTGATTTTGTGGAGTTGACTTGTGAAAAGCCAATTAACGTTCGATTTATAGAGTTTATGCCATTTGATGGAAATGTGTGGAATACTAAGAAGCTAGTTCCTTATGCTGAGATTTTGGATAAAGTGGTAATATAAAGTATTTATTTTATTTTATCATTATAACGTTAGTGAACATTTATTTGCATGATGAAAATAGGCTTGATTTATCTTGTTGATGTAGAAACAACGATTTGAAGGTGTGAGAAGGCTTACAAATCATCCTTCAGATACAACCAAGAATTTCATAATAGATGGGCATCAAGGAACAATCTCATTTATTACATCAATGACTGACCATTTCTGTGCTGGTTGCAATAGATTGCGGCTATTGGCTGATGGAAACTTGAAAGTGTGCCTCTTTGGTCCATCTGAGGTATGCCATATCAATTTTTTTTTTTGGGATAAGTTATTGCGTTGTTCTATTCAATCATTCCTCGGTGTTGGTGCAACTCTTTTTTTTTTTTCGAAATAATCTTCTTATTTTGCTCCAACTTCAAAATGGTGTAAAACATTGAAACATTACTTTTGCATGTGTCTAAGAATCATATAATATTGTTGTCACAATTCTGCTCAGGGGCTTAAAATTTTTAAGATAAAAGCAGACGATCAAATGGTATATTCAATTTTAGTTTCATTTTTTATCATTAAGAATTAATAAGTGATACTAACAGAAATAATTAATTCAACTGAAAATAAAACATAGGTAAATAAAATTACATTTCTAGATTGGTTGTCTTCTATAAATATTATCTTTTCTACCGCTCATTTTTCTTTCTACACCTCAACCTAAAAGTATTTATTTAACATCATTGTGAGTTATCAATAATAATGAATATTCATACATTTAAACTACAGTAGCATGACGAATAATAAAATAATATTTATGCTACTCAAACATACAATAAATCAATATAAACAATTTAATAGTTTATATTTTCAAATTTGATCATTCAAAGTAGTTCAAAATCTTCATTATGTCGTATTGTATATATCATTTTATATATATTCATTATAGGAGCATCATTTAAATTTTGTATTATTTAATGTACATCAATATCGATATCATTTTTCAATTACGTGCAGTGGTATTTTAGTGTCCCAGTTTAGTACCATAAGGGAGTGAATTCTATGAGTCAGTCATACACATAGAAGTATTCAATATAATTCATTTTATTCATAATTTCATGTCATTCATTTCAGTAAAAATATACATCTAATAAATAATACATAGCACTCAATCCTATTGAAAAATTTATAACGTTCACAACAAGATAACCAATCTATAAAATATTATATAAATTAGAATAAAATCGTGCAATTGAGTTTAACAAGAATCATTTACTAATGCAATTAGTTTAAAAGAAACAAAATACTACTTTAGTTTAAAAGTAAGAAAACTCACTTTGCTATTTAATGCATAAACAATATTTCTTGCTTTTGACATTATAAGCAACTTTAAAATATGAATTCCTATAGGTGAATCCAATTAAAATATAAAATTCCTATAATTAGTTAAGTTGTTTCTTTTCATTAAACTTCTTATTTGATTTGTTATACTTAACTTAATCCCGCTGAACTCATCCATTATCTCTCTCTTGCAACTATTCATGTCTGCCTTCCTTACTTATTTGTGTTTGAACCATCTATGCAACTCTCTCACACGAGTTTGTCATTTTTCCCTGCTTTGATCTTCCTCTCCTACAGTTCTCGCCCCTCCTCTATTACACATGCCAACAGCCTGTCTCCTCTTCATTTCGTACGCAGAGATGCTCCTTGTGTTTCATTCCACTTCATCTCGCAAAATAAAGTCCCCAACCACATCCGATACGATTCTATGTTCCATTTGCACATTCGTGCCTCCTCTCTCGCCCTTTTCTTTGTTCATGTCGCCAAAGCCACACAAGAAAACCCTTATCTCTACCTTCCGTTAGATTCAACAAAGCCATTTCCCTCTAATTTGTCATATCTAGATCTGAAATCTTCCCCCTTCAATGCTCCGCTCTTCTCTATTCACTTATAATTCATACCCTTGAAACAATCCACTTCCATTCTTCTTTTAAATCGATAACTCTAGGCCTCTATTATTTTTTTTTACACTCATCCCAATCCTGCACCAGAACAACAACCCACTTCTACCCATTTCACTGATCGTAAACACCATATCTGCCCCTATCTCTCTTTGAATTATTATATATTATATATTATATAAAATAGAAACAAATCGAAGAGTAATAAAAAAAATTGAAAATTCGTTCTCTCCCGATCGTTGTCCCCTCACACTCAAAGATATAAAATGCTTGAAACCTTATGTATTTGTTCGGGTTGTTTCAACTTGGCTAGGAAATTTACTAAGTGCTCATTTGGGTTGTTGAAAATTAGCAGAAAAAATCGTTAAATAAGTACTAGTGTGATAGGAAAAACTACTACATAAGCATTCGTTCAGTATTATGAAAAATCGTTAAATGGGTTGTTGAAACATTGTCTAGTGTGATAGGAAAAACTACTACATAAGCATTCGTTCAGGTCGTTCCAACTTAGCAAAGAAATTTGCATTGACACTACTTTCATTCAAGTAAATTGAATCCTCATTCACGCTCTATGAACTGGTGGGTTAGAAAACCCTCTATGATCATGGTGTTGTACGACATCAACCATTTTTTTAAGATTGGTAAAAATGTCCAATATTATCGTTGATGCCCCCCTTTGCAAGAAAGATGCTAGGAGGTTGTCAAATTTTTTGGTAAAATGACTTGAAAAGAACTAAATAAAGTTTGATCATTTGTATTAAATCAATATATATATATATTATTTATGTATGTATATATATACCAGACAGGAGGTGTCTGTTGCCCCTGAGGACCCCCATGACACTGTTGTTACTATTACTGCGAGTGATGTGATATTGACACCTTCAAACCCCATAGAAAACAATACTGATGGACAATTATCTACAAATGATAGTGTTAAGACAAATAATCAAGAGAGTCTCGCAGCTTCACTTCTTCCGAAAGTATCCGATGTAGAGGCAACTCATAGTTCATATATATTAGAACCTATTGTTGATATTACTTCTGCTTCAGCTCTACCACACTATCAGACTGATTCTTCGGAAGAGGAATGACTGGTCTATTCCAGGAGGAAGAAGAAGAATGGAGGCCGACTCCAGCTCGGGAACATAATGGATGATACATTGGTTACTTTTGACAATGACAATTATATTACCAGCTTATTAGATTGCTCCTTCCCTAGAACTAGAGACAGAGGCAAGACTAAATTGAGTCGCTCTCTAGCCACCTGATAATATGTATTTCGGCACTGTTAGACTTTTTATTTAAGTTTTGGAACCATTTGTGGTTTTTTAGTTGGCAGGGTGTCATGTTTAGGCCGTCCCACACATTATATCTGTATCTTTCTTTCTACTTAATATATTAGCCTTTTCTATATATATATATATATATATACACATTTTGAAAAAAATAAGATTTTTGAGTGTAATATTTTGAATGGAGAATGGACCGGAACTAAACACAATTATTTAACAAGCAATGATAAAAAATACGTAGATTAATTTGCTGTAGTTAAAAAATTTAAATTTGACATAATAAGAATTGACTGTAAGATTTATGTGATTTATGTTTATTCAAGAATTTAACATATGGAGATCAAAGGCAAATGAATGAATTTTTTGATTGTATGATAATAGTTTAGAGAAATTCAAATATTCGTCATCAGATCCATAGCATGTATATTAGTGGACTCAAGGCACTATTTAAAAATTTGAAGTTTAAATTTTATGCTTAATCTAATGATAAAATTGCTCACATAAAATCGTTGAATCTTGAAAATTTTAAGTATTGCTCATATTTCATGAAGTAATTTACAATTCAAATTTAATTTTGAAAGTCATCAAGTTCTTTGAAAAATGTGAAATTCCTCTTAAGTAGTTCAAATATATGAAATTTAAAAGACTAATAATCATATAAAACATTTAAATTTGAACGTTTGAAAATGTTGCACATGTTATTTAAAATTGTTTCAATGCACTTCACTCTGAAAAAGTTTATGGTTATTTAAATTATCTTAACATATAAAATTAAACACCAACACGTGCTCTAATGAAATTCATCAAACATTCAGGCATATGGTTTAAGAATGTTGAATGAGTTAAAATTAAGTTTGAATTTTTCTTGCTTCAAAATGCATACAAATATCATCTTGCAATCCATACTTATTTTAAAAATTACAAACGCGCATATTTTAAATTTATACTTGATGTGTGCTAGAAGATTGGCGATGGTAGAGTAATAGATTTTCATCTTAGCGTTGCACAACAATTTAACGCAAACTCAGATAAAAGAAGAGAAGTAAGTAGAAAAAAACATCTCGACTTTTTTTATGAAAAACCCTTGAAAGGGAGAAAATCACGGGGCCTAGCTCAGTTGAATAATCCATTATGAATGATGAATACACATATCCACTATTCTTCTGAATTAGGGAAGATGGAATTACAAAGTTGTATAATCGTAATCCGGCTGTAGTTTTTGGCGACAGCAGACTGTAAGGGCCATAGTCGATCGTTGTGGAAGTAGTAGTTCTTTGCGTGTTGTAGATGATTGCTCCAGGAGCGTTGATTGACCAGAGAAGCCATAGGAGGCAGCTGCAAAAGTTGCGGACCACGTAAATCGTAGTTTGTCAGATAGACCGTAGTGGTGAGTAGTAGCGATATCTGTAGAATGCAGGACTCAGAGTCGGGAGCTGCTCGAGGTGTGGATCACGTAGGCTGTATTGACGAGTATAGTGACGTTCGTAGGCCGTGGGGGCCGTAGTCGAGAGATGCACAAGCGTATACGGGGTGCCTCATTATACCATCTTCGCAATACATTATTATACTGCCTTTGGGGTGACATCCCGATGTTCGGGATGGTGCATCGCTTTACATGTTTCTTCGCGACTCTGCGATGTTAGTTGTCGCTTCACACGGTGCTTCATTGCAAGGAGTGGGCAGCGATCGATGATAATCGACGACGACCGACGGGTGGTGGTCGGCAATGGGCGGTGACTGCAAAGTGACGTAGGACTTTAGTTTTATGATACTCGTCTTCAGGTGCTACTACACATTGGGGGCTCACGCAAGTGCACGTGTTGTATTAGTAATATCGAATTTTAGAGTCTGGAATGTCGATCCCACTGAAAATGAGGTAATTTTAATATAGAAAAAATTCTAGCATATTGATTTTGTTCATATTTTGGAATTTAGTTTATGTTAAAGTCTTACGAAGTAATTCTAAAGTATTTAAAGCAATTGTCACGTTGAAATCCTACTTAACTAGGTGTTGGATTGATGAATATCATATTCTAAAGATACCCTCCCTT